GGTCACCTACCTAGATTTCAGGAAGGCTCTTGACATGGTCCCACATGACATCCTTATCTCCAAACTCAACAGACAAGAGTTTGAAGGGTAGATATGTGGATGGATGGATGGAAGGATGAATGGATGGATGGATGGATACATGGATGATGGGAGATGGATTGATGGATGGGTGGGTGGATGGATATGTGGATGAATGGGAGATAGTTGGGTGGATTGATGGGTGGATGGATTGATGGTTGGATGGGAGATGGACTGATGGGTGGATGAATGGATACGTGGATGGATATGTGGATGGATGGATGGAAGGATGAATGGATGGATGGATGGATACATGGATGATGGGAGATGGATTGATGGATGGGTGGATGGATGGATATGTGGATGAATGGGGAATGGTTGGGTGGATTGATGGTTGGATGGATTGATGGGTGGATGGGAGATGGACTGATGGGTGGATGGATGGATACGTGGATGGATATGTGGATGGACAGGTGGATGGATGGATGGATGGATGGATGGATGGAGAGCTGCTAGTGATAAGCCTTGGAAAGCCCAAGTCTGCATGTTTCAGCCCAAGCCCACAGTTACAACACCGTTGTGCTCTGCCTCAGCTCAGGACTAAACCCATCCCCTTCTCGGGTCCCACCAAGCCCTGAGAGCACCAAGAGACCTCAGGAGTCCTGACCAGGTCTTCAGAGCCTCCCTCTGCCCATGTGCCCCTGAGCCCTATCTAAGCTCTCTGCCCAGCAGCACCAGCCTCCAGCTGCTGGGCTGACCTCTTGGTTCAGACCTGCCTCGGCCCCAGGACTTGGACTCCTGGTTGAACCTGATCACCACCTCTGGGTCAGATCCAGTGGGACTGGGGGGAGGTCCCTGCTGTCTTACCTGTCTTCTTCCCCTTTAGGGAGCAGCACAGGCTCCTGCTGTGCCTCAGTGAACACCCCTAAAACACCTCCTCTCCCCTCCCACTCCCCACAAAGCTCTTCCCTGAGCCCCCCAACCACCCAAGGTGGGCAGATCCCCCCGTGGAGCACAACAACCACAAACCACTGAGCCACTCACTGAGGGTGCAGCTTGTAGAGTGTCCCATCCACGCCGACCGTGACCTTGAGGAAGTCCAGCCCGCGATTCTCCCGGATCTTGTCCACCACGGCAGCCATGCCGGCGCCGCAGAGCTGTGCCGCGCGCCGCGCCACCACCGTGCACACCTCCTTCACGATGATGCTGTCGTCGCACGTGGACTCCAGGCCCAGGTGCTGCAGGATGGAGCGCACCTGGAGCAGGGCCAGGCAGTCACTGGGAAGGACAGGAGGGCCAGGAAGTGTTAGAATGAGCAACAGGGATCTCTACATCCTGCAGAGGACTCATGGCTTGGGGGAACTCTCAGTCCACCTCTAACCTTCAGGCCTAGTGTCACACCCTAATGAGGGAAGCTATTTTGGGATTAAGCTATTGACTTGGAGCGTGACAGCCACAGAGCATGTGGCTCCTCTCTGCCCAGGGCAGAGATGATATATAACGTCCATTCCAACCCCTAAAATTCTAGGATTCTGTGATAAGAGGTGTCTATGCTGCCAACCTCAGAGTGTCCTCATGTCTCCACACCAACACTCCCACGTGGATTGTGCTGATTTATCCTGCATCATCCTGACTCCACACCGAGCGCTTGGGACTTCTCCCACCAGCCCTGGGAATGCTCTCCCCAAACTCCAGTCCTGCCCTGATCAGCAGCTGGACCTCACCTCTCTATCTGGGACAGGAACTTGGTCTCAAAGATCCCTCTGGTCTTCAGCCGCTCCGAGATCCGTCCCCGGAAGAGCAGCCCTCGCTTGGTGAAATCCATCAGGATGTTGCGGACGATTTCCCCCAGGTACATCCCACTGATCATCTTCTCAAACCTGGGAAGGAGAGGATGAGGTTGGACATCAGGACTGGGAGGAACACTGGGGCTGGATGGAGATCCCATCTCTCCATGTGCCTTCAACACAACCCCTGGAGCAAGCCCAGAGCACAGTCCCCAATCCACTGGTGTGTCCCCAACCAGGCTCTGCCCTGACACTCACCGAGGGGCTGGTGGGGCAGAGCTGCTTCTGCACACTCAGGGGTCCCTTCCAGCCCCCCAGAGCCACCACCCACCTCTGCTTCCCAGGGTTGAGGGACAGCTCATCCACCGCCAGGTCGAACTCCGTCCGTATGTCGTCCAGGCACCCGCTGTCCCCGAACGCTCCCCACTCCATGTTGACACACATCCTGCCCTCATCCCCCTCCACCAGCTCCACGTTCCTCATCTCCTCCATGTAGCAGGCATTGCTGCCCGTGCCTGTGGAGAGAGGAGCAGGATGAGAGCCCTGGGACACCTCCTGCACCCCATGGCCTTGGGCAGCTCCGTAGGGAAGTTTCATTCCTCACCGACTATCAGCCCAACTTCACAGTAGGGATCCTCATACCCACAGGTCATCATGGTGCCAACTGTGTCATTCACCACTGCCACCACGTCCAGGTCGAATTCCTGCAGAAGGATGGGATTGTGTGGGTTGTGGAGGACTTGGAATTCCTGTGCTCCCACAGCTGGGGAAGGACTTGTCTGTCTGCTGAGTGTGGGATCACAGAATCCTGGAATGGGTTTCAGGAGGGACTTTACAGCTCAAATTGTCCTGGGCAGGGACACCTTCCACCAGCCAAGGATGCTCCAAGCCCTGTCCAGCCTGGCCTGGAACACTCCCAGGGATGGAGCAGCCACAGCTTCTCTGGGCAAACTGGTCAGAGCTCACAGAACATCCAACCTCAGGTGCTGAGCCAAGGTGGCTGAAAAACCCAACGCTCATTAGGCCTCAGCTCAGCCCAATCATTTGTTTTACAGCCAGTTAGCCATGCTGAAGGCAGAAACTGGGACCACACTGAAGGTCACTGGGAGAAGTGATTGGGACCATGTTTGGAGAACTGAGATGTCCTGGGAGCCACTGGAGTTCTGCTGGAGGTGAGTTGGATCACACAGTGGGAGCACCTAGAACCACACTGAGGGTGACCGGGAGCATTCTGGGGTGACTGGGAGCAGCTGGGCCTATACTGGGGGCAAAGGGGATCCTGTTTGGGACCACAGCTTCTCCCAGCTCCGTGGGCACTCACCTCCCTCCTGTGGATGGCCTCCTTCAGCAGACCCACCACGTCCTCACCCTCACAGCCTGTGGCCTTGAAGCCTTTCGTCCACTTGAGGAGGATTCCCTGTTGTGGGAAAATCCCAGTGAATCCCTCAGGGGGTGCTGGGTGGGAGGGACAGGCAGGTTTGGAAGCTGCTGGGAGGGTTGGGCTTACCTCATCCAGGTTGTTCTGCCGGCAAGGGAAGGAGAAGGTGAATCCAAGTGGGAGGGATACACCCTTCATTCCCATGTATTCCAGGAAGTCGGAGATGCAGTGGACGATGTGGTCAAAGAGCTGAATGAGCAAAGCCCAAAGGAGATGTTACCACCATGGCCAGAGCTCAGCTGGATTCCAGCCTGCCAACCCCTTCCCAGGCCTGTTGGAATGTCCAAATCCATTCCCAGGACTTTGAGTGGAGCAGGACACTGCTCAGCTGCTCTGTGTGAGGTGAGCAACCCCAAAAACTCATATTTCACTCTCTTCCCCACCCACAGTGTGACCATATCCCCGTGGCACTCCCACCCTGCAGGTGCCAGCAGGGAGGGGACCAACTTTCCTGGGAAGACATGGGAATCATGTCCCTCTGCAAGGGATCCCCAGAGCCAGAGCTTGATCCCTGTCTGCCAGAGACACTCCCAGTCCCTGAGCACTGCCCAGAGGGGTTTGCAAAACTCCTTCCAAGTAACACTCCGGAGACATCTCCCACTGCTCATGTTCTGGTTTCCTTTTCTGGGAACTGGGATGATGCTTATCTTCCCTTGTGGAGTGTGTGGGATTCAGGAAGGTTCAGCCATGTCTGGGAATAACACCATTTCTAACCCAAAAACCAGTCTCCAGCTTCCCAAGCTCCTGAGCCTTGGGCAGAACGAGCCTTCCCCACTCCTGGTTTTGCTCCCTAGAAAGGCAAAGCCAGCTCCATGGTCAGCCCTGCTCCAGCCACCACAGGGAAGAGATTCCCTTTCCCACCTCCAGCTGCCCATCCTGACCTCCTCTCCTGTTCCCTGCATGATCTCCACGGGGATGGAGTAGATCTTGTTGTGCATCTCCACACCACGTCGCATCCCATTCCGGACACGCACCAGCAGCACCCGGAAATTGGTTCCTCCCAGGTCCAGGGCAAGGAAATCTCCTTTTTCTGCAAGCCAAGGGAGGATTATCAGGAAAGATCCTGGTGTGGAGCACCCAGAAAGTGGCACAGAACAGACCCAAACCTGCCCTCTTCCTGAGAGAAGGCTGGAAAGCAACATGAGATTTTTTTAGGGAGAGAGTGGTCAGACATTGCAATGTGCTGCCCAGGGAGGAGGTGGATTCACCATCCCTGGAGGTTTTCAAGCTGAGACTGGATGTGGCACTTGGTGCCATGGTCTAGTGACCACAGTAGGGTTGGATTTGATGATCTTGGAGGTCTCTTCCAACCAGGTTGATTCTATGATTCTATGTGGCTGGGAATGGAGAGGAGAGGAGCAGGTGGGAACAGGGGGAGCAGGAAGGAAAGTGATGGAGAGGTTTGCTCCCAACTCAGAGCAAGGATGAGGCTTAAAAACATAGAATCATGAATATCCTGAGTTGGAAGGACCAACAAAGGGCATTAACATCCCACACAAAACCTGCACAGGCTTCAAGCCAAGGTCAGGCCCGAGACAGAGCCAGGAGCTCAGCCTGAGGGTGGGGAGAGCCCAGTGAGAGCCAAACCCCATGTGAAGTCAGACCAGCACGTCCTGGGAGCTCAGCACTTCACCCAAGCACCCTGGAGGTTTGTGCTGCTCCCACCACGAGGAGCTGGTGGAAGGTGAAGGCACAGCCCTTGCTGGGGACGTCAGGAGCAGCAGTGCTGGCTCTGGGCTGACACACAGGTGGATTCACACACAGGATGCATCACCTGTCCCATCTGGAGTTGAGCACACGTAGGTCGGCAGCATTTTCACCGTCGCCTCCTCGTGTGTCTCCTTGCCCAGCCCTTTCTCCATCTCTATCCTCATCCTTGCCTTCACCTCCAGCAGCTGCTCATGGCTCAGCTTGAGGGCCTCGAGGATCTTCTGCCTGGCCTTGTGCTGGGCATCCAGCCTGTAGGCCACAGCTGTCACCATGGCTGCCCCTTTGCCACTGCCGTCCTCGGAGCGGATGAATCGGATCTCGCAGTCCGGCAGCAGCTTCCGCACCGTCTTGTGGAGGCGCCGAGCGAAGCTGAGGAGGAGGAGGAGGAGGAGGAGAGGGACCTGAGTGTGCCACACGGGACATGTCACCTTCTGGGGACCCCTTGGGAGCCAAGCAAGGTGCCCAGGGAGATGCTCATTTGGAGATGATGAGATGTACCCATTGCTGCCAGGAGCAGCTCCATGGTCCCCGTCCCTGTGCTGGTAGGAACAGCTCCCTGTCCCT